GAGACATCAGAGATAGATAGACAGGCGATCCCAGTAGTGGAGATCGCGCATTCCTGATCTATTCATTCAATCTAGATAATTATATAACTATACTAATGCTAACCTAATCCTTAAAAGTTCAATTCCAGAAGTTGAACAATCAGTATGTGTCTATTTAGATCTGTATGCGACTATATATCTCATATCTGTGTGTGTCAATATATCTGTATGTGACAATATATCTGTATGCGACAATATATCTGTATGTCGCAGTTACAAGTTTACAAGTTAATCTAATGAACCTTACGATTGTATCTATTGTTAGATATTGCCTTAGCTAACGACGTGATAGTCAATAGACACGATGTGTATTTATCAATACAGAGTGATCCAACAATCCGGATTCTGGCCACGAGTTACTTTTTAAATAATCAACCCCGTACCTTCGTCCAATTATATGAGTAGGGGTAAAATTTATAACTTACGAATGTCTAGACTTTCAATTAACATGAAATATGATTTTAAATTGTCAAAGTAAGTTAGGTGGTTTCGTTTTAAGACTATTCATTTAGCGGCCTGAACAGTACAAAGTATCGAAGAATTATATTTTGTTTAACCATCACCTCACAGTATGAATGGTAACTTAACGAGATTGGCTCGTTCCAAAACCGTAAAGATTTTTGGTTTTAATTCTCAGAGGCTAATCAGTTTAATTGTAGAATAAGTCTCTCAGCATTCAAGTACTTAAATACTGGGAGTCTTAACAGTCAGAATTAAATGTGAACTCACTTGAACTATATAGCTTATAGCTATGATTGACTACTACAAGATATACCATTTGAGCTGGAGTTAAACTATGTTATGGAGAATTATTTCCTACTCCACTCGCTATCAGTTTTATTTCTTGTCCATGATATATTATCAGTATCAGCTAAATCGGATGAAGTGTGGAGTATAGATTTATCTCTAACGTTTTGTGTTATGATAATTCTGATTGAATCGTAAATTTGGTGGCCGAACCATCAACCAACTGGTCTGTTTCTGAAAAAAAAGGTGTTTCTTTGACCTTGAAAGCACATTTCCTCAGAAATAAAGTTAGGTGGTTTCGTTTTAAGGACTTGAGTCATTTTAGGGAAATAATAAGAATGAAGAATTTATTGGTGTTAATAATCATATAAATAAATGTAACCAACAGACGGGCCTGCAAAACGGGCCATCTTCTCTTCGTACCAACTGATGTATCATAAGTCTTCCGAACTACCCTGTCACGTCTAGGGCTAACCGTTTATTTGGTGCATGGATGAAAAGGACCCAGGCGGTGCCAGACATGATATATAGTTGCAATCTAGATCGCCCACCTTATTTCTTGAAATACCTAAGGTTTTTGTTAAAAATCAAAACTCCCTTTCACTCCACGGGTCCTTTTTAAAACCATTCAAGAGTGAGGTTGTTTGCGGTGTTCCGCGGAGTCCGTGCGGGAATTCAAGGTTGCGGCGTTTAGGCCAAAATGACGTTAATTTCTTTGGGAGAAGCACCACCATCTGTGCCCTTTCACTCCAAACGAGTTTTATAGTATTGCCCCGCGGGAGCTTATTGGTTGCTTTTCCATCGTTTTTTTCAGGCAGCAATATAAATTGGGGAAAGCCATGAAATTCAAGTGTATAAGATGTACTTACTCACCTCCTACTGCCCATTATTTCTGGCGTTCAGTCTAAATGCAATAACTCTTACTTTCGTTTAACTTTCCTAGCTATATGTATGACTTCGCCATTTCCCGCAGCATGCAACAATTTATATAACTGATGTTTTAAAGATGTAAGCATTATAAGAAATGGCTATTTTCGCTAAAAGGATTCCGTTGCGTTGGAAAACGTTTTTCTTTAGTTTGGGACCAAGTAGGTGTTTGATAAATAAAAGTCCCTGAAAATTTCGATGGAATTATTAGACCTTTTGTAAGATAAATGGTCTTTGTCTTGACAAAAGAGAATTTTCAAATTTAATCTCTAAAAATTGGCCATTTACTGATACTGAAAGGGAAGCTTTGGGGTCTGGGTGCTTTGGTGGCAGTCCAATTTTTGATGAGTTAAGGCATCAGCATATTTTTCATAAAGAGGAACAGTGCGTCTTCCTTGTTAGAATAACAGTGGTAAACTGTACCCTGTAACTTATCCTGCGCCGAAACAATCTTAAGCCCCTGCTGAGACGTTTTTAGTTCTTAACACTGGAATGCGATCGTACGTTTGCTTTGCACAGGTATTTGTGATCCACTTATGGATATGTTGGTTCAGGTAATGACAACATTCTTGCCACATCTAGCTTTTCAATATGGTTTTAAAGGCTTAGTTGAGCGGCAGTCATCTTTTAAAATGTTTGGGTGGTCTAAAATAAACAATTCATTGTTAAACATGTTTTATCACCTTTCGACAAAGATCCCTTGAGATATATTTTAAACTGTTATTGGCCACCTCTGTGCGGTACCTTCCTTGTGACATAACTCTTTCATGTAAATTATCGTTTCGAATACCAATACCTACCAACTAGTATGGGACATGTTCCTATAGGTCCAGACTGAATTCACAAGGGTTCGATGATACGGGTCCATTCCTGATGGCTGGAGTATCACTAAAAATTATTGTGTCGAAAATTCCTTAATTGGGACAGGGTCTCCTGTTAAGGGCCTGAAAGTGGGCTTCTTTGGGGAAAACTCTACATATTGGGCTGGAGAGATGGCTTTACGGCAGGTACACCCTTATCCGATAGACAGAAATGACTTTGAAATTTGCGAGGTAGAAGGGGTGGATTTGTTTTATGTAATAAGCTTTACATAGCTTTGTTACTGACCATCAGTCAAATTATTTCAAATCCAAATAATCATTGCTTTAAAAATTTTTGAGTAATGGCCTGCGGCTGCTTCCCGTTTTACGGCTTTGGACTTTGAAGGGTTGGCACTAGGAAGACCAGTTATTAGGTGGAATTTGACAAATTGGCACAAACAAAAGATCATCAAGAGTTACCCCCTATTTCCCTTAAAGGGGATTTAATCCTTCAATCAATATTGTTGTGAAGTTCATTCTTATTCAAATCAGGTTGGATATTTTACTGCTGGGATTTACTAAATCTTCAGTTGAGGTTGCTCACCATATTTTAACCATAAGTCATATGTCCAGGAACTTTGTTCTTGTTCTTCCCTGAACGCAAATCTGAACAAATGTATTTAAAGCTGTATCGATTTTCTAATACGTATTCCGGTAATTGTGACCAAAAAATTCTTTCTTCAGGAAACTAATTTCATCCTCTTGTTAAAAATTTCTATCCCCTTTGTGTAAGCATATTTTACCTTAGCAAGTAGTGATTTAAACTACACCGGGAATATTTTAATATTGAACGACCGTTTCAAGCTTACTAACCGGTTTAACTAGGAGTTTTCATGAAAAATTTATGTAATACCCTTTTTAGGCTAGAAAGACAACTTTGATATCATTGCTAGAATCTATGGAAAAACTGTTCCAGAACCCAACCGGATTTTGTTAATCCAATCTTTAACCCCCTTCCTCCCAAAAAAGGAGGGACCCCCGGGTAAAGTACTTAAACAGAGCAGCACCTGATTTAACGACTTAGAAAAATCCCCGGGGGTTATGTTTGATTCTTTTTTAATTTGATAAAATTCCGGTTAAAACTAAAACATATAAATATACCCTAACCCCTATTTTACTCCTCTCTTCAGAATACCTTCTTTTGGGGTCTTACTTTGGTATTGTTGACCCCCTCAACCCGCACTACACAATATAAACTTTTTTGTCTACCCAATATAGAACATATCATATGTGGTTCTCGTCCCCCAATAAACATCTCAAGACCACCTTAACTTTCATTTACTTTACTAAGGGTTGGATTTATGTGCGACTCTCGAGAATTAAGATTCTTTTTAATACTGTTTTTTTAAAACTTTTTCAAATTTTATTTAAAACTTGGAGAAGAATAAAGTTGAACTGGGTCATATATAAATTGGTAGCAGGTCTGTTTGCTTTTAATGGTTCAAAAGTTTTCTCGAAAATGGTCTAATTACAGAATTCTGCCGAACAATTATTAAATCTTTTTTCTAATTAATGGCTATCATTCGTGCACAGGTTGATCTGTGTTTGAGATTGTTGGCTTCAGGACAAATGTGCCCCAAACATTCTTGGCACAAACTACTCTCAATTATGGTAATGGCTTCTTGCGGCTAGTAATCTTAAAAGTGTTGATGATCTAAGTAAACAATAAACATTATTAAACATATTTTAAAATTCGACAAATAGATCACTGTAGTAGATATATTTTAACTGTTATAAGGCCACACTTCTACGGTATTTCCTTCGTGACATAACCATTGTAAATTCCTGATTCGTTGTCGAATACCACATACCTACCAACCTAGTCATGGGACATGTCCTATAAGTAACCAGACTGAATGTCGACAAGAGAGATTGGATGTAGACATTCAATGCCGGAGCCCGGAGTATCCTAATATATTGTGTCGACAACATATTATTAAATATTGCTAGACGCTCCTGTTAAGCCATGCAATGAAGATACCTTATGCAAAACATCTACATATTTCATGAATATGAAGATAAAATACGGAGCTACACCCTCAGCCGATAGTACAGATAATAGTTGAAGATTAGGGAGGAGAGGGGAGGTTGTGTTTATAAATAAGGTTTCAGTAGCTATACAGACCATCAGTCAGACAAACAAATCCACAATAATCATTGCTAAAATTAGATCTGGCTGCTGGCTGCTGTCCCGTCTTACGGCTTTGGCCTTTGAAGTTAGGCTAGGTGTCAGAATCCTAGGTGTCAAGTACATCTTGACAAATTCTACCAAACCTAATGATCATCAAGTGGTCTACCCCCGTATTTCCTTAGGGTAAAATAATCAAAATAGCTCTGGAATTTAATCTGTATTTGGAGGAATGTGGATGTTTTGTTTGTGGAAACTAAATCTGTTGTGAACAGTTGAATAAACAGGAAATATTTCAGACGCCCAACGGGGATGTCACGGACTTTGTCAGCTTCTATTCCCTGTCCTCAACGATCATGAACCACCCACAGTATAAAAGTCTGTTCGCAGCCTACTGTTTCTACTACTTTAACGGTATGTGACACAAATTCATTTCTTCAGGAAACAATTTCATTTCTTGGAAGATTTCTTTCATTGTGAAACATATTTTTACCGGTTCAGTTCAAATGTAGATGATTTGTACACATTTCCGGAATATTTTGAATATTTAAGACCTTGAAACTTACTTACCTTTATTGCAGGAAGTTTGTCACTGAAAGATCTTATGTACGATACCCTTATTATGGCTAAGAAAAACAACTTTGACGTATTCAATGCTCTAGATCTGATGGAGGTTTGAAAACTGTCTAGACAACGATTTATATTTATAAACTTATAACTATGGCTCCCAAGAAGGAGACGGCTAAATACTTAAACAGAAGACGTGATTTGAGACTTGAAAAGAATCGCTTATTTGATCTTTTTATAATTTCTATATCCTCTCCTTCAGCTAAAACATAACTAATACCCTAACCATTTTACTCCTCCGCAGAACAAGCCCATTCTGGAGGATCTTAAGTTTGGTATGGGTGACGGTAACCTTCACTACTACATATTTAACTGGGTGTGTCCCAATATAGAACCCTCACAAGTGGGTCTCGTCCTCCAATAACCATCTCAAGACCACCTCTAACTAGATTTCTTACTGAACGGGGGATTTACAGTGCGACTCTCGAAAGTATTTTTCTAACTATGTTTTTAGCTTTCTATAATTTATTTGATTTAAAGAGGGGAAGTAAAGAGAACTGGCATAATATTGTGCAGGTGTGATTATGCCTTTTAAGGGCATATGTTTACCACGAATTTGTCTAATTCTGAAATTCATGCCTACATATAAGCTTTGTATGTGCGTATTCAACGGACTTAGGATCTGCGCTGTGGCTTTGAATTATATCAAAACCACAAATACTGAGCACTTTTATTTCTTTAATATCCAGTCATTAGTCATAATTTGTCGATTCACTGTTGACTTTGATGAGAGTACATTTTAAAGAATTAAAAATGCAGCCATAGGGGAATGATGAATAAATATGAACATACTACATCACAATGTAGATATAGAATTCAGGTTGAATAACTGAATATTTAATAATTGCAGAGCAGACTAAAATTATATGTTCCACGAAAGATGTTTCTGTTTATTGTGGATTTGTTAGTTAGAAACTTGAAGATAATCTGTCGTCAATTTGTCAAACTTATAGTTATACATAACAATCCCATTCATACATACGATCTCAAATAAAGTCTGAGTTCAATTACCTCAACCATAAGATATTACAACAAAAATAACACCAACGGTTTACAAACAACAATCACTGAAATTATCCCTCAATCGCAGCGTTTCAAACTGTCTTTTTCTCGCTTCATGACTGTGGCCACAGTCGGACTGTAGTCTCTCATTGGATCGCATTACCCCAATCTCGCTCACCAGTGCTCGCTGGTTTGGCCGAGTTGACACTCGCTGTCTCCAGCACTCACGGAGCGTCTTTAGGGATGAACCTCTCGCCTGGTCGCTGGAAGGGGTTGTTGTATTTGTCGCTCAAAAGAGAAGGATACATATCTTTTATGTTTTGGGACATGTCCTTGCCGGCGATCTTAATTCTTTTTCTGGTGGTAGTGTAGTTTATCTTACATCTGTGTGGCATCTTCTTACATCGCTCGTAACGGGCAGAGTCGTCTCTCATCAGGAACTCTATTCCTCCAACGCTCATGTATCTGGTAAAATGAGCTGTTAATTCGAGTCATGATATTGTTCTAAGATATTTTGTGGTTAACGATCTATTTGATGTCATAGAAAAATCGGCTTGAAATTGTCCTGACGGCGATTAATCATATCCGAGCTGAACTCTACTAGTATAATATATCGAGCTAGGCTAGGCAAGGCAACAAAAATTTATTAAATCATCAATATTATTATTGAATATCGGTAGTATATCTTGCGACTTTTAGAAGCATTAATATGGTACGACTCTTAATCTGCAAGTTGCAAAATTTAAAAACTAAAATACGCCTCAACACTTTCTTATTAACATCACCTTGGCGAACCCTTGATATTTACTGCCCCTCATTTATTAAGTTTAACAAGATTTAAAAAGCGTTTTTAGGGAGTGTGACCTGGTCGTCATGTCGCTAACTTAACTTGACGAAGTGTTATTGACAGTTAGATTGAGGAAGTGACATGGAACATGACTGTTCCAGAGTATTACTGCACTACTGTAGTCTAGCTGGAGCGTTGAAAGCTATGGACCATTTTTCACCCAAAAAAACCTAACAAAAATAAATAAAGTTTCTGAGTATATTATAAAATCTGTTGACTGGTCCCAAAGTAAAAAACAGCTAAAAGGTAAAAACAAGCTTAAAATGCAATGGTAGTAGTACTAACTTATAGTAGTGATATAGAATATAACTCACTGTTTGCCCTCCTTGAAGTCCCCTATCGTGACATTGATTCGTGTATGCTGTTTATCGAGGAGACTAGGTCGAGTTCTGATGTGAAGAACGTGCTTCCGCAACGTGGAACCGTCACCCTGTAACAGTTTCATAATGTGTTACTGCAGTTGTAATCTGTGACAGTATATGTGTCAACAGTTAAACACTTAACCTGTTAACCAATCAACCGCAGTGTGTTGCAGGCGGAAGAGATTGCAGTATGTGTGCCTGGCCAAACCATGTTAAAGCCACTCAGTAATACGATCTGAGGAATCGAGACATCTCGGCATTCCAGAAATAAATTGTTTAAGAATTTCGAAACCGTATAGAACATTAGTCATCACTCATAAGATTAGAGCTAAGCGCCGGGATCATTATGCAATTTATAATTCGTTACTGCTGGTTGAAATTTGGGATATTCTAGAGAAGTGAAATCACTTAAATTCCTTGAATTTCTCTGACGGTTAAGTCATCTGAGAGAAAATGCAAATTGTCAACTAACCCTGTGATAGGCTCGCCCCTTGTAGTATCTGATTCTCACTGCTTTCTCGCCTTCCTTTAAAGGCACATGTTTATGTCTCACGGAAGTGTGAGTTAAACGATGTATTCCTATCGGACGGCCGTTGGGTAGGGTACCGAAATTATTGACGTGGAACCTTGCTATCGTCTTCTGTAAGCCATGAGATAACGACAGTTCAGCCTTTTTGCCTGAGAGGTGTTTCCGGTAAATATTATGGGTACTTTTCTCGTTCATATTTCATCTAAACATAAAAGTTTATGAATGACATATATCATAGATAAACTTTCAAATATTCAGAAGATTGGTCATTGATAGATAGATAGAAACTCGGCTCAAGAAATGTTATAGAAGTTAATAGATGTTACGCATAGTTGTTTAAATCGAAACATGCATTATGTATATCAAATATGCACGTTGTCCATAGAGATTATCATCAACAATAACAACTTAATCTTACCATTCATGTTAGTATTTAAGCCAACTTTAGTATCGTTAGTTAGAGACGGATCCAACTTGATCTTTAATCGTGTTCTGCCGTTCTTTCGACTTGAATGTAGCACTTTGTCACCCGTATTATATTCGACCTCTCCTTCTTTTGCCTGAAAAATGATTATGTTATATCGGACTGCCGTGAGCTTATAATATAATTCACAATGTTAGAGTGCATTAGTATCGTACTGTGGACGTGGCTGTCTCGACATGCAATGTCTGCCATAATAATATGAACAGTAAAAATTAAAGAATTTCGGATAATTTAGAACTGCAGATTTGCTGAAACTGAATTGAATGATTCTATCGAAAGAGCTGGATTTAGGATGAGGTTTACGCACAGAGTTTGTTTTCGGTAAATATTATATTTAACGATTATATATGTATAGCATTAGCACGAAACATAGTTAATAAAATTAAATTTAACAAAATTAAAGACAAAGTCACTTGATCTTTAGCCTTGAAATTTATGGAAAAATATTTTATCTTGTATAGGCCATTATAAGTAGGATAAAGTTATATTCTAACGGAAAGAAATCGAATCAAGACAATAAAATTAAAAATGATAGAATAATTTATAAATTATTTAAAGAATTAACCAGAAGTCAAGCAGTAACTATCTAAAAAACAAGTAAAAGCAACGTACCACCAAAGTTTGGTCCTCAATAGCTTCATCAAAATTGACGTCTAAATCATCGTCTGTAAGCCCAGTGATCTGCTCCAATATCATCCTCCTCTCTTCTTCTGGCATCTCTCCTTCGATCATCTCCATGTCGACCATGTCAGGGTCAAGATTTGTGATGGAACCATCCGGAATTGGTGCCAGAAATGTCCTTCGTGCAACTAGGGCAAATAACAAAACGGAAGCAAATCGCAACATGATCAATAGAGAAGTAAATTTTCGCTGTGGCCCGTTGCGTGGAGTTGAAATATGTAGCGTGAGTTTAATTACCAAGGATCGAATAAAGCTATTTAAAGGGAGTATTCCTCGCTCTCTCCTCTCCACCCCGGCCCACCTCTAATCGGAGTTATTGGCCAATGGGAGGACGACACGTCAGTGTGCCAGAAAACCAACAGCGTGCAGGGTGAAGCAGTACAAAGGCGGGTGATACTATTACTAACACATGGTGTGGAAGTAACGTTGTAGCTCGCATTAAGTCGCTTATAGTCTACACACGCACACCCTTTCTAGGTTAAAGATAAATAGCTTCACCCATGCATGCGGGTGGTATCTACCTTTATCTTATCAGGCCTGTCGCGGAGAAAGTGCGGACATTTTTTAATTTCCTAGTCATTTCCACTGATTCGCCTGCCAGAAAACAAAGGTTTCCAGGGTGATTTAAATTAGTGTAATCTTCACAGTCTACCCGGAGTTCCCAGCAGTTCACAAACACACTAACTGAGATCACAGAATCACGACAGGACCTGGGCAGGTGCCAAGAAACGTACCGTATGCCTCACGTACCATGTGGCAGCCCGTTTCACCATCTCCGCCACCAAGGGCAGACCTTTACTGCAAGGCTTTCTGTCTCCTGGGATCTGGATTTAGTTTGCCATTCAGCCGCGATAAGGAGTGTGGGCTTGGCACTTGGCACAGTGATGCCGGGCAATCCTCTCCTTATCTTTATCAGCTGGGATATTAATACAGTGCCGCGTTAAATCATGTATTCTGAGTAAGTAAAATTAGTTACTGTGTCAGCTACAAGCTGTATAAGAATTCCTACAAACATATTAACTATATTGATTTACATATTACATATTATTAGAGTTGTGCTTACAAATACTATAAGACTAAGAAACGATATGATCTGACGTACGAGGCTACTATAGAGCGATTGCGTCATTTCCTTGTTCATTTGTATCGGGATTTTATGGCTCTGCGACTATATCCATTCTAGACTCGGAGTCGTTTTGTTAATATTATTTCGGAACAACTTATGACCTGCCGCACCTTGGATCTCCTCTAGACTCGTATTTACTACAGTTGACGTGGGCACTCCTTTTTTAATCCGGTTTATATGTATATATATATGACAAGTTTTATCCAAAAAGTCTGGCGCCTTTGATAGTAATCCAGAGGTGAAAAAAAGACTGTTCTTACAGTGCACTGACTGAGATTCTAAACGTGTTAGAAATTTCACCACGCCAGATGTTTAGAGACAAAAACCTGCTTTATAGTGTTACCTGTTAAGGATTTGACAACAAAGCGTAACAAACTTCTAATTGAATTTGGAGAGTATTTTTCGGCTCAATTTAAGTCCAGGTTTAACACTTTAACAATATGAGTAGCGTAAAAATGTTTCACATCGTCCTAACTCGGATCACGTGGGATAATCCTTTGAACCACGTGTCACTCGGCGGAGTATCACACCTTGACTCTGAAAGCTGTATAAACCATGCCTCGCCCTGGTTACGTGGATCATTTCTCACGATTGAAAGATGAAGTTTGCAGTGGTTTTAGTAGTGGTGATGGCCATTGTGGCTGGACACAGGTTAGACGAGGAGGATGAGGTTCCTGATGTAGACATAAGGAAGACCGACGTGAGGAAAGAGTTCGCTAGCTTTGTCAGGGTAGGAGACCTTTTCTAAACGGTTAAGAGCATGTTAATTCTTAGGTCTCTCGTGGTTAACCTTGATCATAATAGTCGGTTAGGATATGAGCTCATGGTTTGAAAGTGTCAAAACTTACATTGCATGCTGTTCAGTGAGTTTTACGTATTAAGCATCTCGCGGAGGCTAACCTATACGTTTAGAAATTCAGGAAAAGCCGAGGAAACTTGAGGAGCAATGCTGACGTGAAGAAGAGATACCAGATCTTTGCCAAGAACATTCAGACAGTTAAGAACCACAACAAAGAACGATCTTCGTTCAGAATGGAGGTCAACGACTTTGCTGATAAGGTAAGTTTTAGTTGCAATTGATATTTTAAAAATATTGTGAATATTGTGATCTTGCAACACTTGTCAGATTAATAGTAAATTAATGGCGTTCTTATGTCTATGATTTTTAGCATTCCATGTTGGTGGAGTCTGGCCAGATTATGAGATTATGTCATTATTATGTCATTACTCAACTTACAACTGGTATTTGAAACATGTTGAAGTTTGGTGCCTCCGTTAGATATTACGGAACTTATCACTTACTTCTGGCATTAAAAACATGCATGAATATGGTTCATTAATTAAATATTTATCGGTCAGTTATTTTTGGACGTTAGTTGATCAAACTTGTGATCGGTGATCTAAGACGTGGTAAGATTATATGCTATAATTATCAATACAAGAAAGGCGTGCCAAAAGGAATATCTCTGGGAGTGGACGCGGTGTTGACCGAGCCCTACACCATTTCGTAGCTGTCTCCAGGAACATTAATAAAAGTTTGGTTTAGGTTTCGGTGAAGACTCAGAGGGTGCCCACCTTCGCTGGGTGGATCTATTAGATCACCTTATCAAGATCTGTTTATTGCCTGACATGTATTGAACAATAGCTTATAAACTTATAAATAAGTCGCAACGTGAGACAATCACATTAGCACACCATAGGCGCATCATTTTTATTGTTGATGTGATCTATCAAATGACATATTTCCATATGCAAGCATTCTTTAAGATTTCTAATTGGAATGTTCATCCCCGGCCCTATCTAAGAGAGCTCATAAGAACCAGGTTTCTAGGAAGGACGTAAAGTAAGTGCGTAATATCCAGAATCTTGAAGATCATCTCATCCTACTATATCCAGGCAACTTACTGACTCCAACTGAAGGGTGGAAGGATACAAAGAACGGGGCAAAAGCAGGTGCTTGCTAATCATTATCAATATTGGTATTAAATAAGAGCAGTTAAGTCAAGTTAGCATATTTTAATGATAATTTTACGACATCAGTGAATCTTATTTTCAGACTCTAAGAGAGAGACAGCAGTTCACTGGACTGGCTAACATGACATCAGTACACAAACGATCAAGCGTGAGTAAATATTATGTTTTTTGTCATCTATTAGCGAATTTGACAACACTAGCAGTTGGTAATAGTAGTAGAAGCTAAATTTGAGTAACCGAGATTGAAGTAAAATTATCAAGCTTGATACATAATAGATTCAGAATATACCAGTGGTTTATTTAATCTTCAAAATTTCGCCGTCATAATTCACAATTAAAGAAGCTCCAAATATAAGCTCCAAATATCCTCAGACTGCGAGGTCATTGGCCCTGAGAGACGCTATTCCTGATGCCTACGATCACAGAGACGAGGGACACGTGACCGGCGTAGATGACCAGGGAAACTGTGGTTCTTGCTGGACTTACGGAGTCGTGAGTAACATCATATTTATTTTAAAATGCCGAATCTAATCCTTTAAAAAAATATAGATTCTTATCTTATCGAATATAACGGTTGTCCTTGAATTTTCACTAAAAGTTAACTAGTTCTTCACCAGGTATACCCCTTGGAGGGAGCCGTCTCAATCCTGTCAGGAAAAGCAGCTGTAGAGTTATCTCAACAGGAAGTCCTGTCTTGTGCCTACGAGGATGAGGAGGAAAGGAACGGTTGTAACGGTGAGTGAAGGAATGCCCACCAAATTTTCGTGTTGTAGCTAATGATTTTTACTTTGTCCATTATCCCAGAGGTGACAGATGTTCTTTGAACAAAAGAAACATGTGCGTTACGTAACTATTTTTCAAACTAATTCTTATTTCAAAGACGGCGTTTGTTCTGATCACGAATGATTTAGCATTAAGTGAAAATAGATATCTTGAACAGTTATAACCTTTAATTTAAACCGCGGTCCCATATACTAACTGAATTTTCACGTTGCAGCTCATCACTTTTACTTAGTTCATCATCAAGGGCCTGATTTTTTAAACGCCCTGTATTTGATTTGAATAACAATAAGTATAACATATAAAATAAATGTGTATCACTTTATTTCCCGGAGCTTCAAATTAAATTCTATTTAAAATGGGAAGTTTAAATTTAATTTAAATTTTATCTTATGCGATCGTTGCACTCACAAGAGCGTATTGTTACTATATTATTATTAACGTTTTACTGAATCGCCCCTAGATTTGCTCAGATCGACCAAGTGGGAAGTGGAGACTAAAGATATTCATTTAATTTCAGGTGGATGGTACATGGACGGTTGGAACTACGTTAAGGAACACGGTCATCTAGCTACTGCTGCTGATGAGCCCTACTTAGGAATTGACATGCATTGCGACCCTGACATTAACGATAAACCTAACGGCTTTGCTGGATACAAAGTTGTTGACTGGGAGAGGGTTAGTTTCTTATATTTGGATGAACTTTAACTAGTCCTGCAGTTCCTTATTATTGTACTTCCTTCATCAGGACTCATCTTATTCCAATGTACGACATTATTAATTTTGCAGTTTTATGTTTGGAGACTCATCCTTGTCCCTCCAGGTTCCCAAAGGAGACGACCAAGCTCTTGCAGCTTCCTCCTCCAAGAATGTGGTAGCAGTCGCTGTGGAATCTATTGGGCTCTTCTTCTACTCTAGTGGTATCTTCCTTGACGAGTACTGTGAAACTCCTGCTGCAGTCGATCATGCAGTCACTCTGGTCGGATACAGCACTGACGCCTGGATCGTTAAAAACAGGTACCCTTTTTATTTCCTGAGAAATAGGGGTGTTCGGATTAAAGATTTACTTTAATTCGATTTGGCTTCTGCATGATTTTGACGTACAACTACAACTTCTCTAATTTTCCTCCATGGCCCACGATTATTGCAGTTATGCTGCATAGTGTTATGTTGCAGTGTTACCCGATCAGTCAACTAAGAATAAATCGATCAAATTTAAAGCGCTCTACTGCTTCAACCTTCAACATCTATCACTTAGTTTAACTCTGAAGAATATTTAACATGACAAATATTTGCAGTTGGGGTGAGAGTTGGGGAGAGAAGGGGTTCGTCAGGATGGCTAGGTCCCTCCCCTCGCATTGCGGTATTGCTGATTACGCTTACTACCCTCTCGTTGAGAAGGACGAATAAATCATTAAAACATGGTCATCAGTGGTCTCATTACAGTATTCAATTTAGTATATTATTTGAATTTTTAATTCACCTAAATAACTGTCGTTCTCATTTAGTTCTCATTTAGTCTGTACATGAATATTGAATATTTTGTAAAATAAATCCAATAATTATCTACAACTACATATTTTTGTACATATAATATTAGATAATTTACGACTCTAGCAAACATAAAGGATAATAGAATAACACAACGGAAACTGACGATTCAGTAGTGTATAAACAAGTACATCAAGAAACTGCTAATGCCTACAATTGTCAGAGAAGATTGCACAACCAAAAGCAACTGCCGTTAGGTTTCGTTATTTGTTCCTGATGTTCCTTCTTTGGACTAAATAGTCAATATTTTGAATTCTAGGACTGAGTTACAAGTTGAACTGATAACAGGTGGTTGACGTGCAGTGATAAATCTCAGGTCCAACTCTTCTCCAAGTGATTTATTAAAACTTTCAGTTCTTATTCACTTGACCAGCCCAGGGACAGTAGCAGCTAATCGTCTTGTAGTCATCCTTCTTGCTTGAGGGTGACAAACCTCTGAAATTTATTTGTTTAGGGATAGGCATTTATTATATCGCACAGCGCTGACTACTGAGTAAATCAGTAAATGAATTTGAGAAACAGCGCGCGCGGCGGCCGGAAGTTAAGCATGCATATCATGGCCTGGGATGTACTCGATGTTTGAATTATGAACGGCATACAAAAACAAAGTATGCGTGTTCCATAAAAACTTTGAGAAGGCTGTTTTGCGTATTATAGATTAAATAGGTGGGAAACACAGCTAACCAGTATTTCGGTGCACGAAAGGAATTAGGCTGAAGTCATATTTGCTCTTATCCATCTGCTTCTTTAACGATGCTCTGTACCTGTTATAACGAACTCAGTTATAAGAAATAAGAACTGACCCTACTTCTTGATCGTAAAGCCTGAACAAACCCCTTTATATAAAATGGATATGTTTAGGTTCAGCTATTAATGGTTTATATTGTATTGTTAAATCTATGACCAATTACAGGGCCTTTGTGAGAATCTAAGTATGTTTGACCTATTTGTATTACTGGACTACCCGATCACTTAGTAACCGTACCTAAATGTATTTTGATAAGTTCCTAGTTATTTTCAGCTGGTATCATCCAGAGTCTCTTTCAGCATAGCAAATTGTGCTGCAACGCTCATGATGTTAGGGAAGAAACACAACAAAAGAAAGATTACAATGGTATGATGAAAAACCTTGACTGTTCGGCATCTCGTTCACATTCCATTCGCTCAACTTTCAACTGATGCACCTCTTCTTTTGTGAGACCCCTTTGATCTACCTGCAATGTTAAAACGTTAACATCAAGATCGTCGCTATTCAGTGTGCTACCACAGTTCAAAAAAGTGTGTGGCATTTACATCCCAAATCTAAAATATATTAAAACCCTTCACCAAATATCATGCATAAAGTTTATTCAAAATCCCTTGTCAAATGTCATTCCTACGTTCGTCTATACATAGCATTATGCATCCTTGAAATATTCTGGCCATCGATTCCCTGTCTAGACGTTTTCATATGCATTATTAACAAATGTTCGGTCAGAGGAAAACCGACGTTCACAGTTACTTGAAGAATTAATCGAAGAAATTTAGTGTAAACTTTTAACTGTTCAATCCAAAATTTAAACAATTTCTATTGTTTAGTCCATGCTAGCACAGTGCTATGTGAACTAGTAATTCCTGGCACAATAGAAAGTATCAATACAGTAGTCGTGCTTTCTAGCATGGCTAAACAAATCACGTGATTTTCAGAAGACAAGCATCTATTCCGACTATGAAGCGCTGATGTACCACAAGGAATCATATTTTAATGGGATTTACGAAATTCCTGTGTAGGAGGAGTATATAAACAGTAAATAAAACATTTTTAACATGTATTAACTGTGGAACGTTGTTTTATGGATTAAACATTGAACTCAATGAAAAGCAGAGACTTGAACTAACGAATAATAAACCTTTTGATGTGTGTTTAAATAAATTATTGTTAAACCAACGTATATTTCGAGTTAGGTCATTCCGTAACAAGTTGTAACAAGTGTCAATATATATTATATATTATATATAATTAATATATATATATATATAGTATATCAATGCGATAGTAATTATGACCATGAGTCTTATAATTCAGTAACATCACCAAATTTGAAACGGTTCAGCCAGGGATGCGATCATTTAGTGCCAGATAAACATATCAAAATGTTAGCAGTGGATAGAGTCAGGTATCGTTCACATATTATTACGTTTGGAAGGGGTCTAAAATGCCCAAAATCTGGTTTACTTTACCTGTGAACCTTACTAAGAAGTTACACATATAGCGAGGTGCTCGTGGTAATAACCTCTATGTTCTTCCTCAGTTTACATCATTCCCCAGCCATAACACCATTAAATGAGTCTACTCAACTAAATATTGTTACCAGACCGAACTGGTCAGGCTTATCATATGATCTAGTTGTTCAGTCACGATACTTCTTTTAGCCACTCTGAGGCTGTTAGACACAATCACGTGTTTATTGACTATTTAACTTCATATTGACGCTGGATTATACTCCCAAATCAACGGTTTAGTACTTTTTGGCTATCAAACTCGGTCAAAGGGATAGATGTTATAAAACACATCACGTTTATTTTGATTTCCGTTTGTACGTTTTCTAACCAGTAAAATTGAGACTGGCTGTACATCAACTGGTGATATTCTGAATCATGGTTGCTCAAACGGGTCAAACTACCCATTTACATGACAGTGACTGGGCCCTCTGGCAGGTGCTTCGAGCGACAAAGTCCTCTCTGAGTACTATGACAAACTCCCTTACAAGCACTCAGCAGGAGCTTAAGGAGACAAAGTCCTCTCTGAGAACTATGACAAACTCCCTTACAAGCACTCTGCAGGAGCTTGAAGAGACAAAGTCCTCTCTGAGTAGCACTCAGCAGGAGCTTGAAGAGACAAAGTCCTCTCTGAGCTCTATGACAAACTCCCTTAGAAGCACTCAGCAGAAGCTAAAACTTAGTGAGGGTAAGTGGAATCCCGGCAATTTTGTAACACTATATATATTATAATGTTAACTCGCTGTACTAAAATAAGATGTTGGAACCAGACATATTGTAGCCGTGACTTGCCAGGCATTGAGGTATTGTAATGGGCCCACAATATGATTACAATTTAAATTTAATATCCGTTATCAGGTTAAAATATCAGGTTAAAATATTTGTAATTCAAATAAAGGAACTTAAATTTTCAGGATCTTATGAGACTGTGACAATAGTGCTCGTTTGTATCGTCACGATCTCTATTGTTCTGCTGACAATTCTTATAGTCCGAGCTATAGTCCGAGCTATTAGAACAAAGCGGTCCGTTGCATTGAGTGGACTGCCTAGAGACATTGAAAGTGACCAGGGACCGAAACCACAATACGCTAGGGAGAGAGAAGCTAGGGAGGAGGAAAATGCTGGAACAGCAGACTACAGGGATGATATTGAGAATAATGCAGAGGAGATATATGATAATAAGGAGTTGTATAATTTGTAAGTGTAAATACATAACAATTGTACATAGAAAGGTTGGATAAATCTTCTTATGGTTGGTGGGCTAGACAGTGAAACACGCAAATGTAGTGTATACTTCGTTAAATTACATCATTAGCTACAAAGGAATTAAGTTGGTTAGTTTTATTAATACTATATATACGAAGATCTAAAATGCCTCAAACAATCGAGAATCAAATAACCTAAATAAAATACACAAGGTAAATGGAGATGAACTACACAAAAATATAGCTTCAAAAATGAAGCTTCAAAAAAGAAGAATTAAAAACTAAGAACCTTATCTTTCAACTTTGCATCTATTTAAACCCAAGCAATTAGTTCTATACTTCTCAATATACCTAAATTCCTCCCTATTTAATCCCCTGGGGTTACATTCTTTCAAAATGGCAAATTTATAGTTGTCAATAGTAAAAATGTCACTGTGATGTTCATAGGCATGAATCGAAAGGGCTGATTTATTACGATCCTCTACTTTAAAACAGGCTCTGTGTCCATTGACACGTTTATGAAAGTTTTGCATTGTTTGCCCGAAATAAGTGTCTTCTACAACTATCTCATAACCTTCTTCCTTTATAAGATTACAAAGCTTACATTGGGCCACATAAATAACATTTTTAGATTTACAATTATATCTGATAGGAACTACTAGCTTCTGTCCATTAACTACAAATTCTTCCCCTGCCCTACACATTAATAATAATAAATCTTCGACATTTTAATACATAATATGCAAAAATTGTAAGTGTTAACTGTTACATAATAAGTGACTTTATTGTGTATTTCTATAGTCACACTGTACAGACAATTTCATAAAAATGTTACTTTCAGAGGCCTTGTTATTAAACGAAGAGCAGCGGAGGAAACTGAGAGGAAAACTGAGGAGGAAACTAAGGAGGAACATAAGGAGGAAACTGAGGAGGAAACTAAGGAGGAACATAAGGAGGAACATAAGGAGGAAAGTAAGGAGGAAACTGAGGAGGAAACTGACGGGGAAGCTAAGGAGGGAAATAAGGAGGAAATTGGGGAAGAGTCCAAAGTAGCTGTAGTCAAAGAGGAATGTCCTGACAAGGCGATGAACGTGAACCCTGAAGAGGAAGAGGAGGAAAGTGAGGAGGAAAGTGAGGAGGAAAGTGAGGAAGAAACTGAGGAGGAAAGTGAGGAAGAGTCCACGGTAGCTGTAGATAAAGAGGAATGTTCTAACAAGGTGATGTACATGAACGTGAACCCTGAAGAGGAGGAAAGTGCGGAGAAAAGTGAGGAGGAAAGTGAGGAAGAAACTGAGGAGGAAAGTGAGGAAGAGTCCACGGTAGCTGTAGATAAAGAGGAATGTTCTAACAAGGTGATGTACATGAACGTGAACCCTGAAGAGGAGGAAAGTGAGGAGGAAAGTGAAGAGGAAAGTGAGGAGGAAAGTGAGGAGGAAAGTGAGGAAGAGTCCACGGTAGCTGTAGATAAAGAGGAATGTTCTAACAAGGTGATGTACATGAACGTGAACCCTGAAGAGGAGGAAAGTGAGGAGGAAAGTGAGGAGGAAAGTGAAGAGGAAAGTGAGGAGGAAACTGAGGAGGAAAGTGAGGAAGAGTCCACGGTAGCTGTAGATAAAGAGGAATGTTCTAACAAGGTGATGTACATGAACGTGAACCCTGAAGAGGAGGAAAGTGAGGAGGAAAGTGAAGAGGAAAGTGAGGAGGAAACTGAGGAGGAAAGTGAGGAAGAGTCCACGGTAGCTGTAGATAAAGAGGAATGTTCTAACAAGGTGATGTACATGAACGTGAACCCTGAAGAGGAGGAAAGTGAGGAGGAAAGTGAAGAGGAAAGTGAGGAGGAAACTGGTGATAATGTAGGAGGGATATATGATAATATGGAGTTGTATAATTTGTAAGTGTAAATACATAACAATTGTACATAGAAAGGTTGGATAAATCTTCGACATTTTAATACATAATATGCAAAAATTGTAAGTGTTAACTGTTACATAATAAGTGACTTTATTGTGTATTTCTATAGTCACACTGTACAGACAATTTCATAAAAATGTTACTTTCAGAGGCCTTGTTATTAAACGAAGAGCAGCGGAGGAAACTGAGAGGAAAACTGAGGAGGAAACTAAGGAGGAACATAAGGAGGAAACTGAGGAGGAAACTAAGGAGGAACATAAGGAGGAACATAAGGAGGAAACTAAGGAGGAAACTGAGGAGGAAACTGACGGGGAAGCTAAGGAGGGAAATAAGGAGGAAATTGGGGAAGAGTCCAAAGTAGCTGTAGTCATAGAGGAATGTCCTGACAAGGCGATGAACGTGAACCCTGAAGAGGAAGAGGAGGAAATGAGGAGGAAAGTGAGGAGGAAAGTGAGGAGGAAAGTGAGGAAGAAACTGAGGAGGAAAGTGAGGAAGAGTCCACGGTAGCTGTAGATAAAGAGGAATGTTCTAACAAGGTGATGTACATGAACGTGAACCCTGAAGAGGAGGAAAGTGAGGAGGAAAGTGAGGAAGAAACTGAGGAGGAAAGTGAGGAAGAGTCCACGGTAGCTGTAGATAAAGAGGAATGTTCTAACAAGGTGATGTACATGAACGTGAACCCTGAAGAGGAGGAAAGTGAGGAGGAAAGTGAAGAGGAAAGTGAGGAGGAAACTGAGGAGGAAAGTTAGGAAGAGTCCACGGTAGCTGTAGATAAAGAGGAATGTTCTAACAAGGTGATGTACATGAACGTGAACCCTGAAGAGGAGGAAAGTGAGGAGGAAAGTGAAGAGGAAAGTGAGGAGGAAACTGAGGAGGAAAGTGAGGAAGAGTCCACGGTAGCTGTAGATAAAGAGGAATGTTCTAACAAGGTGATGTACATGAACGTGAACCCTGAAGAGGAGGAAAGTGAGGAGGAAAGTGAAGAGGAAAGTGAGGAGGAAACTGAGGAGGAAAGTGAGGAAGAGTCCACGGTAGCTGTAGATAAAGAGGCATGTTCTAACAAGGTGATGTACATGAACGTGAACCCTGAAGAGGAGGAAAGTGAGGAGGAAAGTGAAGAGGAAAGTGAGGAGGAAACTGGTGATAATGTAGGAGGGATATATGATAATATGGAGTTGTATAATTTGTAAGTGTGAATACATAACAATTATACATAAGGTTGGATAAATCCTGGTCATTTTAATACAGAATATGCAAAAATTGTAAGTGTTAACTGTTACATAATAAGTGACTTTATTGTGTATTTCTATAGTCACACTTTACAGACAATTTCATAAAAATGTTACATTCAGAGGCCTTGTTATTAGACGAAGGGAAGAGTCCAAATCAGCTGCAGATGAAGAGGAATGTCCTGACAAGGTGATGTACATTGTACATGAACACGAACCCTGAAGAGGAAGAGGAGGAAACTGAGGAGGAAACTGAGGAAGAAACTGAGGAGGAAACTAAGGAAAAAACTGAGGAGGAAACTAAGGAGGAAACTGAGGGGAGAACTGAAGAGGAAACGGAGGAAGAAACGGAGGGAGAAACTAAGGAGGAAACTAAGGAGGGAACTGAGGAGGAAAATAAGGAGGAAACTGAGGGGGAAACTAAGTAAGAAACTGAAATGTGAACGAATGATTCATTGTGGGTAAACCGATCATAGGAATTACCTTTCATATTACTATGTTAACTTTAGATCTTGTCAAGATTATTTGAGGCTTTAAATCCAAACTTAGATGCAAAATTTGGTAAAATGATATGATTTGCATCTAAGTTTGGATTTAAAGCCTCTCAGAATCCAACCGGTTCGGTTCATTTCCATTCTGAGCAGACGAGGATATTTAATGTTTACCATTTCTTGTTACTTTCTAAAATTATTTAAAGAAAATTTTTCTTTCATTTCTAATGTGAACATTAAAAGTTTTACTTATGTTAAAGCGAGTTTTTTTACAGTCTATGTTTATCTTGTTATTCACGTTCAAAGTGTAAAGTCACGTACCTTCGGTTTGTAAGCTTGTCGAGCTGCTCTTTGCAGTAACTTTTCTCTCTTTTCCTTGTCAACCTGCATATCTATCTTCTTTCCCTTCTGCACGTGATAATAGTTTTATACGTTATACTATATAGACAAACCTCAAAACCAAGGTTGTGGTAATATAGCTAGTATCCACGAATGTGTGCTTGCCCAAAAAATACTGTTTGATGTCCCTCACTTAGTACGAGTTAGGACAATTTTAAACCCCTTCTGTTTTCCACTGCTAAGCAATCTGATCCGACTAATTGGAATCATCATCCGATTAATTGGAATAATTATCAGAATTCAAGGAATGTCGACGTTCTATTAAATTCTGCTGATTTTAGGCACCAGCTGGCAGCTATCATGGTAACTACATTCTAGCAGGGAGTTAGGGAATTTAACCCAAACGTTTACCAGTTAACGCCTAACGGTTTAACAGATAAAGTTGCTTGTTATGATACAAAGAAGGGTTGTAAAATGTAATGAGTTCACAAGACTTTCAGAATGTTACCTTTATACTGTAACTCTGATCAGCACTAAAAGCTCTTCTGGATTGAGAGTAGGTCGACAATGCACACTCTGAAAAACAAGTTTGAGGAGAGGGCAGGAGTAGACTAATATTTTATCTCCAGATTGCAGAAAGATATCACTGGAAATTTCAAACTCTGTAACGATTAGAGCGTTGTTTATAGTAACTCCATGTAATACTCACTGACTCCATTTGAAGACAGTAAAGCCTTCCTATCAGCAGCAGCTCCAGCAGTTCTAGCTCTGTAACTCTCCGCTGGAGGGGGCTGGTAACAGAGAGAGGAAGTGGTCAGCATCTCACGTCTGGAGCGTGGCGCGTGCGCGTAACCTGTCAGTGGCCGGTCGTACGTGCTCATATTACACACTCTCTGTAGGGGAGCAATTTGTAAAACATGACTTTATTTAAGATAAAAAAGTCTATCCGGTGTCCATGATTACACCTACTGATTATAAGTAATCTGTGAAAAGCTTCCTACACTACTATGTAGTGCAAATTGATCAAGTCAGATAAAAATGACATGCTGCTGGTTCTATTTCGGGAACACCTCTTGATTTAGTACTGTGGGCACTGTTATTCTGCTATAACACTGATGTTATGTTGCGAGTGTTATGGTTACAAAACACATTACTGTTTAATTCGGATCATATTACAGCGGCCTATTCAGGTTCATTCTTAGCTCCTATTACACCTTCATAATGGGATTGGTAAGGAGATCAATTCATCCGGGATATGTTGGATATATGATTAAATAAGACCGTGCTTTATTAGGCAACAACCACTCAAACTAATCAACTACGCTGCATGATATGTATCAAATGAAGGCATGACGAAGTGTTAATATGATTCAAAATACCTCAATAACCTTATGACATATTAGCGTTGCCATGGCAACTCGAATCCTGAATTTTTTTAGCCTCTAAAATTTGTGTAAATCCAGTATATTACAACGTAAAATCTCCAAAATGTGGGCGCAAAACCTATTATAACGTGAAAGCAATCAAACATGATGTTATTGATATGTTATGATGTGACATAACCAACTTCATAATTTTCGTAATAAGTGATAGCAGTCATCTCGGAATACTGCATACAAATGAGGGTGGAGTAATGTACTCTCTTGCCTAACCGCTCAGATCACTTACGTTATTTGTGAACCAGGAAATGGTTCCTGCATCGCGTGGATGCGGGTTGTGACCGTTGGGGAGTCGTCGGGCCACTGAACTCTTCAAGAAATCTGTGTTCATCTTCCATTTGTAATCGGAGCTATAACTTGTCTCCGGGCCCCAAAATTGAGGTGAACTGCATTAGAGATTGACATTAGAGATATGGAATGTTATGAAAATTATTGAGGGAAAGACAATTTAATTATGTATCGCCAATGAAGCAATAGTTGGAGGAGTTGTTGCTTCTTCGTGCTGCGCATTATTTCGTTTTGCTTCGAAGGAAGATTTTGAGTAGTACCATAAGCTTTCAAGAGTGAACCAATACAATCAAATAACATCTAAAAGTTTCTTCACATTACGATGTGAGTCATCGTATCTTCCGTTCCGTTATGTACTAAGAGGTAGGCTAGCAAACAACTGTTCGCTGTAATTGGTTCATGTTTATCAATTATGCGTAAGTCGACCCATTGTCGTTCTGGACTATATATTGACATCGAAAGCTGCCAGGTTATTACCATGTGATTCGACTCAGTACCTTTAAATTATTAAGTGGCAAAGATGGGCCACCCACCACGACCCTACCAAAAGTAAACTGAACCAGTACGGGCAGTACCTGATCTTACTGATACAAAGATTGTCCGAAATGTGTTCCTTCTAATTTAACACGTAACCACTAACCACTAACCACGAGTATAGGGAGGTTGTTACCCAAGCCCCTGGGGTCAGCATGACCAGGCGGCAGGTCAATGCAAGGCCGAAAGGCGATCTTTTATTTCAATGACTACCGAAACACAACCTTTCTTATAAATTATAGAGTTGAGTTCTTTTGAACAGTTTTTACATTTCACTACATTAAATACTTACTCATTGTATTCTTTAGCTAATCTCAGATCATCATAGTTCGGTGCCATAACTTCAGGAGCTACTATGGTGTTTGTTGTATTAGGAGAAAATTCGTATTGATGAAACTATTTTTGAAACAAAAAATTAATTTGAAAAGCAACTAAAAATAGTAATTCTACGTAATGAATCAAATTGAAAGACTTATGGGCTGGGCTGGAGAGTGAATTATAACACTATACTAGGTATATTTAAAATTCAGCTGATGTTTGTTGATTATGAAGATGTCGTAAGTTTATGTTAATAGGAGGAAAAAATTAAGAAATTAAAATAAAAAAGGACGTTAAAAACGGAAAAGAACAAAAAGCACTATTTAAATCCTGCCTATGACCATTAGGCTGTATCAAAAAACACAAACATGGTCCAATAATTGATTCACCTTCCAAAAAGTTGCATTAGGTCATTGTGAGTTTGGAAAAAAATTTTTAGAGTTCAACTCCAACCTTATACGGTGGTATTTTTCGTTTCCATGGTAACCATTCTGTCGCGGTCGCGTTTACTGAATTAAATTCATATCTAGAGAACCATACCACTTAGAGAACTGTATAATAGCTTAAAAGAACCGGAATGGCCAAGTTTATATTCAACTTATCAATCAACTATATGCCTAGAACCTTTATTTTTTGAGTTAAAGGCAAAAAGTTGGTTTTGACTGCGTTGCTATGTCGATCGCGTTGAATTTTTGCATTTTATTCCATTATTTTTTACAAAAAAGTAAGCAATAAACAATGTTGTAACAAAAAGGCAATATCATTTAATGAATAGATATGTAGGGAGGGGTGGTACTGCATTCAGGGCCTCAATCCAGTACCACCCCTCCCTCCAGCCTCCCTAACACCCCACAATCCACAAATACTGGATTGTGGGGTGTTAGGGAGGCTAGAGAGCCAGGGAGGGGTAGAACTTGATTGTGGGGTGTTAGGGAGGCTAGAGAGCCAGGGAGGGGTAGTACTGGATTGTGGGGTGTTAGGGAGGCTAGAGAGCCAGGGAGGGGTAGTACTGGATTGTGGGTGTTAGGGAGGCTAGAGAGCCAGGGAGGGGTAGTACTGGATTGTGGGGTTTTAGGGAGGCTAGAGAGCCAGGGAGGGGTGGCATTGGATCGTGGGGTGTTAGGGAGGCTGGAAGGAGGGGTAGTACTGGATTGTGGGGTGTTAAGGAGGCTAGAGGGAGGGGTGGTACTGGATTTTGATTTTTGGGGTGTTTAAGAGGCTAGAGGGAGGGGTGGTACTCGACTATGGGGTGTTATGGAGGCTGGAGGGCCAGGGAGGGGTGGTACTGGATTGTGGGGTGTTAGGGAGACTGGAGGGAGGGGTAGTACTGGATTATGGGGTGTTAAGGAGACTATAGGGGGAGGTGGTACAGGATTTTAATTTTTGGGGTGTTAAAGAGGCTAGAGGGATGGGTGGTACTGGATTGTGGGGTGTTATGGAGGCTGAAGGGCCAGGGAGGGGTGGTACTGGATTGTGGGGTGTTAGGGAGACTAGAGGGAGAGGTGGTACAGGATTTCGATTTTTGGGGTGTTAAAGAGGCTAGAGGGAGGGGTGGTACTCGATTGTGGGGTGTTATGGAGGCTGGAGGGCCAGGGAGGGGTGTTAGGGAGACTGGAGGGAGGGGTGGTACTGGATTGTGGGGTGTTAAGGAGACTAGAGGGAGAGGTGGTACAGGATTTTGATTTTTGGGGTGTTAAAGAGGCTAGAGGGAGAGGTGGTACTCGATTTTGGGGTGTTAGGGAGGCTGAAGGGCCAGGGAGGGGTGGTACTGGATTGTGGGGTGTTAGGGAGACTGGAGGGAGGGGTAGTACTGGATTTTAGGGTGTTAAAGAGGCTAGAGGGAGGGGTGGTACTCGATTGTGGGGTGTTATGGAGGCTGGAGGGCCAGGGAGGGGTGTTAGGGAGACTGGAGGGAGGGGTGGTACTGGATTGTGGGGTGTTAGGGAGACTAGAGGGAGAGGTGGTACAGGATTTTGATTTTTGGGGTGTTAAAGAGGCTAGAGGGAGAGGTGGTACTCGATTTTGGGGTGTTAGGGAGGCTGGAGGGAGGGGTAGTACAGGATTGTGGGGTGTTAAGAAGGCTGGAGGGAGGGGTAGTACTGGATTGTGGGGTGTTAGGGAGACTAGAAGGAGAGGTGGTACAGGATTTTGATTTTTGGGGTGTTAAAGAGGCTAGAGAGCTAGAGGGAGGGGTGGTACTCGATTTTGGGATGTTAGGGAGGCTGGAGGGAGGGGTAGTACTGGATTGTGGGGTGTTAAGGAGACTAGAGGGAGAGGTGGTACAGGATTTCGATTTTTGGGGTGTTAAAGAGGCTAGAGGGAGGGGTGGTACTCAATTGTGGGGTGTTATGGAGGCTTGAGGGCCAGGGAGAGGTGGTAATGGATTGTGGGGTGTTAGGAAGGCTGGAGGGAGGGGTGGTACAGGATTTTGGGGTGTCAGGGAGACTAGAGGGAGAGGTGGTACAGGATTTCGATTTTTGGGGTGTTAAAGAGGCTAGAGGGAGGGGTGGTACTCGATTGTGGGGTGTTATGGAGGCTGGAGGGCCAGGGAGAGGTGGTAATGGATTGTGGGGTGTTAGGGAGGCTGGAGGGAGGGGTGGTACAGGATTTTGGGGTGTTAGGGAGACTAGAGGGAGAGGTGGTACAGGATTTCGATTTTTGGGGTGTTAAAGAGGCTAGAGGGAGGGGTGGTACTCGATTGTGGGGTGTTATGGAGGCTGGAGGGCCAGGGAGAGGTGGTAATGGATTGTGGGGTGTTAGGGAGGCTGGAGGGAGGGGTGGTACAGGATTGTGGGGTGTTAAGGAGGCTGGAGGGAGGGGTGGTACAGGATTTTGGGGTGTTAGGGAGGCTGGAGAGAGGGGTGGTACAGTTGTACAGGATTTTGGGGTGTTAGGGAGGCTGGAGGGAGAGATGGTACTGTATTGAAGGGTGTTAGGGAGGCTGGAGGGAGGGGAGGTACTAGATCGAGGCCCTGAATCCAGTACCACCCCTCCCTACATATCTATTCATTAAATGATATTGCCTTTTTGTTACAACTTTGTTTATTGCTTACTTTTTTGTAAAAAATAATGGGATAAAATGCAAAAATTCAACGCGATCGCCATAGCAACGCAGTCAAAACCAACTTTTTGCCTTTAACTCAAAAAATAAAGGTTTTAGGCATATAGTTGATTGATAAATTGAATATAAACTTGGCCATTCCGGTTCTTTTAAGCTATTATACAGTTCTCTAAGTGGTATGGTTCTCCAGATATGAATTTAATTCAGTAAACGCGACCGCGACAGAATGGTTACCATGGAAACGAAAAATACCACCGTATAAGGTTGGAGTTGAACTCTAAAATTTTTTTTCCAAACTCACAATGACCTAATGCAACTTTTTGGAAGGTGAATCAATTATTGGACCATGTTTGTGTTTTTTGATACAGCCTAATGACCATGGGCTTTCTAGGGACTGATAATAGCAAGCCATGCTTGAAAGATTGTATTATTTAAATCTCGCAGTGACTGAGCAATAATTGCCCCAACGTGTACTGACCCCTCCCAGATCCCTGTATAATAACATTGATTTCCCATGACACATGTGATCACTGGGCTCCAATCGCACGTGCATAGTGTTGTGCCAATAATTAACAACCTCTCGTTAGGATTATATATCTGAAGAACCCCCTCTCCAGCAGTAATATTATAATTTTTCTAACGTATAACTATAGCCAATCATTAACAAGTATATCATTAGCGTATTTATTATTTACTTACATGGCTAGGGGCAGCCTAATGTGAGAAATGAAATCAACTTATAATTTGTTCACGTTCACATGATGTTTGAAAATAATTGTAATTAGATCGTTCAATATATGATTTGTGACCTATAACACGGCCCAGCGGCCCTGGATTAATATTTAGTTCAACCTTTTTACTGAGGCCCACATGATTGCTTATATCTTAGAGCTCAGGTAATCTTTCTGTAAGTGATAACCATGCTCGTCGTGAGCAATCAGGAAGCTGAGGGATGCAAGTATCCCACTCGACTTAGGGCGTCTTCAACGTCCGAACAGAGATAGTTTTTTTCCAAATCTGTCTATCCAGCATGAGTTTGTTAATCTCCTTGCTGTCGTCAAACCCGTGTCCTTCCGAAGGATGTCAATATATGTATCCCAACTGTCACCAATGAAGAACTCACCCCCATCACAACATTACTTTATATAGACAAGAAGGCAATCATTGAACGGCTGAACGCATTTCTTGCAGACCATTCAGCGTTAGGAGTCAAGCCCCTTAGGCATGTGAAACTTATGGAGGAAAAAGTCCTTATCAACTCCTGTTTCTGTATCTGATATTCTTACTTCTTCAATCAAACCAACACTCTACTGCTTGCAGGAGCACATTTAGTATGCAAAAGACTTGGTGTCAGATCTGCAAATAAGGGGTCGTTCACATATTACGTAATCATTTTTTGGAACATTTTTATCCCCCCCATCAGTTTTACACATAGCTATTGTGTCAACATTGCACTAGCGTAATCATTCAGAACCCCCTCCCCCCTCAGCTGATTATGTAATATGTGAACGACCCCTAAGAACACAGAGAAGCGAAAAACCTCCCTTTGGAAAAGGTGGATCAAAGATAAGATCACCCAGGTAAGAAAGACATTTCTTATCTCGATGAAACATACTGCTTGAAACAATATTAGAAGGGTTCTACACTGTTGAACATGCACATATGAACTTAGGTTTGTATGAACCATGGACTTATATGAGAGAGTTATTATGTGATGTCCCTAGGACTCTTCTTGGACATAGAAGGAGCCTCCGACAATATCTCCTATGATGCCATCTACCATAACCTCAACAACTCGGGAATTCCCACCACCTTATGCAACTGGATTTATTATATGGTTTCCCATAGAGTTATCACTCTCACCGGTATTTCTATTTCTAGAATTATCAGCAGAGGCTGCCCTCAAGGAGGAGTAATATCACCGTTCCTCTGGAACCTTACTCTTAACGACCTCCTCTCTAACCACAACT